TGTTGCTGCTCATTTCTACCCTATGCTGTCTGTGGCCTAGAAATTTACGTATGCCTTCTCTTGCATCTTGCTATTATATAACGATGTCATTGCCTATAAAATGATTGATGCTAATTTGCCTACTTTTTTCTTGTCATACTTATTTTTGGTATATCCGATGATCTATTTCTAAACAGCGTTTATAAATGGGAGTCAATATTGGAGATATATAGTGATGCTCATACTTTTGGACTGAACTCGGCCAATTCGGCAGCTGTTTGTAATTCTAATATGGCAATCTCTTGGTTAGAAGCAACGTTTCTCGAGCTAGTTCAACAAACAGCAGATGAGGAAAATCCAGCTATCGTAAAAGCTCATTCACATGCTTCATTTGATGCATCACTTGCTCTGCAGGTACGTGATATAATGGTATTGTACCCTATCTGAGGGATGCATTTAGTTTTGACTGGAGATTCTCATTTTGTTTGGATGTGCAATTTATGCTCTTTCCAGGAATGAGGAATTTAGGGTTGATCTGTGTATCATAGCATGAAAATTTCACTGAGAATATCAAGGCTTTGTCATGTTATAATTTCAATATCATTTCGTTTGATTTGATGACCTTTTTCAGGGTCAGTTACGTAAAGTATGCCATGCCGAGGAGGATGAAGCTGTAGCAGTTAGGGGTGCCGAATGTGAAGGCCCTGCAGTCAGCTTTCTCTATAATTTAGTCAGCAAAGACTCAATTCTGGTGACTGCCTGGAGTGGTGGGAAATTGCAAATAGATGCCCTAGCCGATGAAATCCAGCCAGTCTGGATAACTGGTAGTGCACCTCGTCTTCGTGTCGACTCCCATGATTATGTTCGTGGGATTGCTAATATCTGTGAATCAATCACTGCCGAGCATTCTATAGTGAAGCTTGATCAACCACTTGATAACACTGTTTGGTTGGGGCATCCACCTCCGTTGGTGAGACTGTCAATCGTGGATTTGGCTTTGCCAAGGAAGACAGAAGGCAGTTCTCTTATCACAATGTTTGCGGATCTGCTTATGCCCGAAATAATATATTCTCTTCATGAGGGAGGGGTAGACTCGATCGTCTTGCATTTTCTCCCTTTTACGTCTCAGATCAATGGGAAGGATGAGAATATCAAAATTCCCTCTGTGCATCCTGTACTGAGTACATGACAAGGTGAAACATCTTCACCCTCTCCTCTTTTTGGCTTTGCCTCACTGTCGGATTCATTCGGATATTCATGGGTTGTGGTAGTCACTTCAACCAAAGAATGTGTTGTGTTAGAGATGAAAACTTGGAATTTGTTGCTTTCCGTTCAAAATGACCAAGAGAAGCCCGTTAGCTCAGAAGAGCAGAAAGAGAAAGATACTCTGGATATCATAAGCAAAGAACTCCTCTTTGGTCCTATGTCGGTTCTGGTTCCTCAGGCCTCGCCTAATCTGCGTTCTATCTCTGCAGATTCCATCGAAGGTCGATCTGCTCTTCAACAGTACTACAAGCTTTTCCATGAAAATTATGTCGAGTATGCACATAAGGTGAGAATCCATCATCTAATTGAAATCCATTTACTGTCTTTGGTTTCCATGTAACTGGAATTGAAAGTGTCGAAGCTTTATTTTTCTTTCTGCTTTTACAGTAACCGCAGGAGCTTCTCCGGCAGCCGCAATTGACCACCAAGCTTTCTTCTCTGATGTTGTTGCTGCTCGCTGCGTTCTTCATTTTTCGATTCCTTTTGCAAATAAACAAAAAGGAAAAGAATAGGACTTTTTAATCCTATGAATTTCAAAAGTTTTCTTTTTGCACCTTTATAGTATAAAACGACACCGTTTTACTAGAAGAATCTCTAACTCCTTTCTCGCCTAGTCCTAATTAAACTATTAATTTATGAGGGGTTGAATGTGCAATTTTTTTTTGAAAAGGGACAATACCACCTGCATGTAGTTTAGGTTTACGCTTGTCCGAACTCTAATGATATGAACTCGAAATAATTTTTTATTGGTTTAAGATAATTTTTATTTTGAAAAATAGGTCTCGTTAAACATCCTTTTATTTCTAGTGCTATAAATGGAAAAGAGTACTTACAGAAATCGTCTTATTTACAAGAATCATTCAATACAGTAGTAATAATTTCGAGATAAATCGAGTCAAAATACATAATTAAACCAGATCGAAATGTCCAACTAGCTAATTTATGAGACAATGTGTTACAATCACGATTAACATAATTGATACTAAACCTAGTAACAGCTCTTTGCCTCTGCCAAATGAATTCCTAAAGTGAAAATGTCAGCTATCGTACGTTGAAGTTTGTTAACCACAAGCTTAGGCATCAAATTCAATTCACACGTGTGTCCATCTGTACTCCCTAGCCAAATGTAAACCAACAATAATAGCATGGATTTCAGCTAGACCAGCCTTCACACAAGCTGGTGATGATGAAGTAAGACCAGAGGCGGGGTTAGGACATGGACAACATGCACGTCAGTAAGGGCTTAAAAAATTAGATTTATTATTATTGTTACAATAAAAAGCAAACAAAATATTATAGATTAGTGGTAAAATTGAGATTTAAGGGTCTCTTTTTAAGAATTTACACATGGTCTCCAACGTCCTAGTTCCGACCCTGAATAAGATCACCTAAAACCTGGCCCTCTGAATCCCGGGTTATGAACTCAGCTGCTGCCATGTGCGTCGTCGAATCGAAAGCACCATCAACATTAAATCTTTACAACACCTTGTGGTGGGAGACTAATGAATCGGCGAAAGCCACACTATGCCGATCACGTTGGCCATGTAATCCCGACAAGCGATTGTGTTGTTGGGCATGTAGAAACTCATCCTGAAAAGTTTTTGCATTGGTAACTATGACCCAAGGAGGTTGGAGATGCCCTTCATGAACCAAAGTGTTACATCAATTCCATATATTCCAAAGAAGCACAATAAAGTCTGTTAATCCGGTACCTAAACTATCGGTAATTATATATAATATTTAGGTAAATTATTTGTTTAGTATCTAAACTATTAGTTTGGTCTGTTTTAGTACATGGGGTTTTAATTTTTTCAAAATTTTACCTAAAGTTTAGTTTTTGAATCATTTTAATACCCTGTTGTTAAAAACTTTAGTTTTTATTTCATTTTAGTACCATCGTTCAAAATTTAACGTTAAATTTTGAAAAGATTGAAAGTTAGGTACTAAAATAGACCAAAACTGATAGTTTATGTATTAAACGCGTTAAGTTTTTAACGGTGGGGTATCAGAATGAAATGAAAACTAAACATTAGGTATGATTTTGAAAAAAATTAAAAGTTTAAGTACTAAAATAGACCAAAACTGATAGTTTAAATACTAAATGTATATTTTACCCTAATATTTATTTAGAATTCTATTAATTTTATTGACTATGAACTTATATACATCCTAATAGACTTTGCTGCTCATACCTAGGCCGAAACTTATGCTAATTTTAATCAAATCTCTAAATCATATAATATCATATCAAAATCTATAGACTATAATTTTTTACTATCCATATTAAGAATTCAAGTATTAAAATCAAATCACTTGATTCAAAATTATCCGAATCTAAAAAATATCAATGATTACACATTTAGTACCTAAACTATCAACTTTAGTTCATTTTAGTACATAAACTTTTAAAACCATATCTAAAGTTTAGTTTTTGTTTCATTTTAGTATCCCACCGTTAAAAACTTTAATTTTATTTCATTTTAATACACATTCAAAATTTAATGTTAAGTTTTGAAAAATTGAAAGTTTAGGAACTAAAATGAACCAAAATTTATAGTTTAGGTACTACATGGGTTAAGGTTTTTTACGGCGAGATACTTTTTTTTTATAAGAATTTCAGGCCTCGTTAAAAATCACATTCTTGATTAATGGAGCTAGTAGGGTAGCTCCTTAATTAGCGGAAGGAGGAAAAAAGTGTCTTAGGATTTTATTGAACATAAGAAATTACATAAGATACAACCTGGTAAAAACCCTTAACATAAACAGATAAACTGGGAACAACCCTAAACCACCCATAAAACTAACAGTAGTTCAACTAATCTGTCCTATTAACCCATCTAACAACCCTTTCTAAATCAATAAAAACTAGCATTTACAACCAAAAACTAAAATAAACGCCTCTGAATACAGCTGTCGAGCAATTAAGAATCAATTGTAGGAACAAGTTCTAGTGAAATATCGCAATCTTCGGGGACCCAAGAGTTAGGTTTGAAGGAAGGATCAACTTCGTGCACCATGATTTTAAACAAATTATCACTGACCTTTAACTCCATCAACTCATCAAATCTCCCTTGAGCCTTTGTGAGTATTTGAATTTTAGCCCGATCAAAAGACGATGGGAACTCACAACTGTTGTCGATTGCTACTAATTTGCCCCACTTAGATGCAATGTTTTTGAAAGTATTCCAATTCCAAGCGTGAAAAGGAATACCTTCGCAAACTAACCAAACGCGACGACACTCCACCACTAGGCTCTTTGACCAAGTTGTCACTCTGGAAAACCATTCTGCAAGAGTCTCTAGTTTCTCATCCTTCACTAATCTCAATGAATCGGAATCTCCAAAAACCATTAGAACCGCATTTCCAACAGCTCTCATTAGCGTGAAGCCAGCTAGTCCTTTGGCTTGTATTTGGTTAGCAAGATTACCAATTTTGATAACTAAACGTTAGTTATGGTTTTGAAAAAAATGAAAGTTTAGATACTAAAATAGATCAAAACATATAGTTTTAAGTATTAAATGCGTAATTTACCCAAAATCAAACTTGAAAGTAACTTGAATCCAAAACTCAATCAGACCTAATAGATTTAGTTTAAACGGTTCATGGATGAATCAAATAATATTTAAAGAATTCAATGGAATAAATGCAAAATTTCCAAAAAGAAAAAAAATTCAAAAGGAGGGTATTATCGTAATTATCCATCAACCTAAAACAAGGAATCTGAAAACGTAGCTTTTAAGTGAGGAAGGAATAGAAAAAACAACGGGAGCTCTCTAGTTTTTTCACTGACAATTCCCCGTTTTCTTCCCATTTTACCCTTCCCTTCTTCCCCTTATTTACACTCCTCTGCCACTCTCCGCCATTGTCGTTTTCCTCTCCTCCTCCTCCTCCATGTCGTTTCGCATTCCCAGCTACTCCGAAGCTCTATCCAACTCTTTAAAACGTTGCGTTTAGGGCTCCTTTTTGATCCGCGTTGAAGATGAATCGGAGCTTTAGGGCTCAGCAAGAGACGGCAATGCAAACTGCGGCGTTGAAACAACGGCAGCAGCTGAGAGCTTCGTTGATGAAGGAGAAAGAGGAAGAGCTCGCATTGTTTCTCGAGATGCGTAGACGTGAGAAAGAACAGAGTACGCTTCTTAATCACCCCTCCGAAGACTTTGATGCTCCTTTAGATAAGTTTTTTTTGTTGAATTTTTCTAGGTTTTTTTTCTTCGTGATTAGTTTGGCAGTTTTAGTTGCTGGTGTGTTAATTTGGTAATTTCTGAAAATCTTAGGAGCTAAACCTGGAACTTCTCCGATATTTAATCTCTCGGCACCGACGACTACGGCGGGGAGAAAGACGGGTGCTGCTGCTGCTGACGATTTTCTTAATTCCGAAAGTGAAAAAAACGATTATGAATGGTAATTTCTTTGTTTGTTTGCCTATTTCCTCATTTAATTTAATTTATTAATTTAAGCTATTATTTTAACTGAAAGCAGAATCCAAAAAGCTCTCTTTCAACTTAGAAGTTAACATCAAATGTTTATATGTCGGAAGAACTACGTTGGAATTGGCTTAGTTCTTTAATTTTAATTAGTTGTAGTATCGGTTTGTATGCCATATTGATGCATAGCTTATGGTTGCATTTGAACGTTCTTTCGACCATTTTCCGGTAGATTTTGGTTAATTTACTTTATGTTTGCCAAAACAGCAGGAAGAGAGAGGACAGGAACAAGAAAGTGGGATGATAATTATCGTTGACATGTGTTTCATTAAAGTTAATATTTGATGGTTGTGATGGGCAGTTTTAACATGTGCTCTGGGGTCACTAGCTGCATATATATTAGCACTTGTATTCTCTAAAAATGGTGGCTACTTTTGGGTTTTGTCTGCTCTGAAGCTAGTAAAGTATTGATGATGACTTGTTATGATGTCCTTTGAATTGGTTACAATTCCGTTCTGGGAACTCAAACTACAGTTTCCTTTCTATTTGAATTAAATCACATTTCAGTGTTAATAGCTTGGTTCCATTTATTTCTCATGGTTATATCCTTTTTTGTTCCTATATTATCAGATTCAGATTATTACTCGTGATTCATGTTATAGTCCTTTTACATGTTTTCCTTTCCTTTGTTTATCTGAAAGAGGCTGAAAAGTTGGTAGATTCTATCTGCATATCTGTGGATAGATTTAGGTTAGTTGCCTCAAAATTTTAAGTTTCAGATTTTCAAAACAAGCCAATTGTTAAATATCGACACCATAAGTTAAGTAGAGAATTGATCCCAAAAAAAGGACTGGAACTCTGATATATTATTGTTGGTCTGTCAGGAATGTTAGACTTTCAAATTGTAATAAATTCAGGAGAAATTCTGAATTTATTGTAACTTTGGAAATAAACATGATTCTTTGCTTCACAAAGTTTTCTGTAATGTTATGTTGTGAATCTTAAGATAGGAATCCTTGGTGTTAAGAATGGTAAAGGATTTTGAATTGCGGGTTTTGATTCCATAACCTTTTAAACGGAAGTTTTCAGATGAATTCCCACAATCTAACGAAAGATGTGTTGAAAGCTTCCACTTGCTTGAGCTTTGTGCTAATCCTTGGCTTTTCTCACATGAATACAATTAAGTGATAAATATTTCTATTAATACGACTCTATCATGAATTGTCTCATATTACAGGCTTTTAACACCTCCTGGTACTCTTTTCCTTCCTTGGAGATGGAGTCACAAATGACTGTAATGAGTCAGATTGGTGTTCCTAAGGCTGGCTCAACTACCCTGAAATCTAGGGTATGAAAAGTTTTCTTAATGCTATAATATGGATTGCATACCTTTGGAAAGTTTGATTATTTAAGTACATCATATAATAGTTGCTGGAAGCAGGAATTTATCCCGTTCAACATTTGTTAAATGAGTTGGATTTTATTGAAGATCATGTTTGAACAGAACATAGCCCTGTTTTGGCCAATTTGCTGTGAAATTTGATTATTTCCTGTAAAGCTTTTAGATTCAAGTGTGGTCAAGAATCGGCAAAACTGAAGGCTCTTTGTTTTTGTAACTATACATTAACTGATTAAAGAGCCGTTTTTAACTAGGACCAAACATGGATGTCTGTCTGTTATCTTGGAACTTGTTAATCTTTCTCTATGTATGTTATTGACTTGCCATAAAAAACCAATTAGTACTATTTGGAAGCTTAGCAGGAATAACTCTCACTGGTCCCCAAATTTAAGCACTTAGAAGTTTGAAAAACTGTGTACCTGTTAAAATATCATCGATGATATATGTTCTCAGATATTTTTGCATCTTAAAATTGCAAAGGTTATTTCCATGGTTTCGTTTGGTTTTTGGACCTTTAAGTGTTTTGATAATTGGATTCATGAACTTATTTGCAATAGCTATCTGTTCATTGTTTTATTAGCTGGCGAATTCCCACCCAGAGTCTGCTGCCAGGAGCAACTTATCACCAAAGCAACCGGCTTTATCCCCTGGGTCGAATTCTATAGGTGTTCGCAGGCCCTCATCATCAGGGGGTCAGGTTCAAGACCAGCAACACCCACTGGGCGGCCTACATTGACTGGAGCATCTAAACCTACAAGATCGTCAACACCCACATCTCGGGCCACATCATCAACCAAGCCCTCAAATCCCTCAACTAAGCTTGTAACATCTGCAGCAAAGCCTGTAATTTCTGCTACCAAGTCTGCAACAAAACCCGTAACTTACACAACTAAACCCACGGTTTCTGGTGCCAAGACTACAGCTTCTGCTACTAAACCCACAGTTTCTGCAAGATCTGCCACGCTGACAAGGTCCACAACAAGGTCTTCAACACCAACAAGGTCCACAACAAGGTCTTCAACACCAACTGCAAGACCTTCTATACCTTCATCCAAACCTGTATCAAGAGCAGCCACACCGACTTGTCGTTCATCAACTGCTGCTAATATATCTGCTCCTTCAATCAAACCATCCCCATCTGTTACAAAGTCAATTCTTTTAGCATCCAGAAATTCTGTTCCATCACGTGGTGCCTCTCTAGTGGTAAAATCTAAGCCATGGAAGCCTTCTGAGATGCCTGGTTTCTCACTTGATGCTCCACCAAATTTACGAACAACACTACCTGATAGACCACTTCAGCAACAAGAGGCAGGCCTGGAGCACCAAGTTCTCGATCTTCTTCTGTTGAACCAGGTCCTATCGGTAGACCAAGACGGCAATCATGCTCACCTTCAAGAGGACGTCCCCCTCATGGTTCTATGCTGCATGTCAGTGGGAGCTCCGTGCCCGCAATAAGTCGTGGATATTCAAAAGTTAGTGACAACGTGAGCCCTGTTGTGATTGGAACTAAAATGGTTGAGAGGGTAATAAACATGCGGAGACTGGCACCTCCTGGGAAAGATAATAAACATTCTCCTCACGGTAACTTGTCTGGGAAGTCTTCATCACCAGATAGTTCAGGCTTTGGAAGAACGCTCTCAAAGAAGTCATTGGATATGGCTATAAGGCATATGGTGAGTATCTCCTAAAATTTTATGAGGGATATATTTTAGTTAATAGTTTTATTCGTAGTATATCGAATCATTTAGTTATCAAGGTAAATATGTTTGAAGATATCACGGTATCATGAATCATTTAGTTAATAGCTATATTCGTAGGTAGCATGGTTAACCCTCATTTATCCCAACAGTCTCAACTTTTAAGTTCTTAAGAGTCAGCCAATACACTAACAAGTTGAAGGTTGGGATGTGGCTATTTCATCTGACTTCATACTTGTTTGTCTTTATCAGGATATAAATCGACGCATTCCTGGTAATTTACAGCCATTAATGACAAATATTCCAGCATCATCTATGTACAGCGTGAGATCAGGTCCTACACGGAGCAGAAATATTAGTGTCTCGGATTCCCCTCTTGCTACAAGCAGCAATGCTAGTTCAGAGCTTAGTGTCAATAACAATGGCGTTTGTTTCAATGGGAACGAAGTAGAAGATGATATTGGCAGTGAGGTAGGTGGTCGATCCCCTGCCAGCATGCATGCCAGATGATTGCCAGGGTTAATAAGGTACGAAAATACATTACTTGTTATTTTTTAAATCTGTGGTATTTGACATTCAGAAGAGAACTGATTTCTAGGAAGAACCACGAATCGAATCACTATTCTAATATTAATGTAAAGCTAATTAGATTTGCTTAATGTGTTGTAATTAACAATCATTGTATTATTAGGGCAACCAATGTAGATGGTAGACATCTTTTCTTCAGCTTCGACACAGTGGGTTGTTATGAACTAGCTTTGAAATGGATAGATATTGTTAATTGAAAACCAGGGTAGATGCTAGATGTCTTTCTTCAACCTCCCTACTAAAAAATTTACCCTATCAAATCGGGCTGTAACTCGCTGATTTCGGGTTAAATTGTCATCCCTAGTTAATTAATTAAAATATAAATTTATTTATAATTACGTGATTAAAATATAAATATAAATAATGTGTATTATATATAAACCGATAAAGTGATCCGATTGTATCGGTTGATAAATAGAATGACTCCATTGTGTTCTCTGAAACAGATCCAACTAATTTGTATGAATGGATCCATTAAAATTCACCACTCACTGATCTAAGCATTAGAAAGTTTTATTATCATTACAATTAGGTAATCGTTTTGTATTATTTGAATTTGACAAAAAAAAAAAAAGGAAAAAAAGAGAGTTAGCAATAGTTTTCTAAAAATTAACATTAATATAATTACAAAAATATTAATTCTCATTTCACGTATATCTTCTAGCTTGGTTATCGAGCAAAGCATAGTGTGAAGATAACATCTGATATGTCCACGATCACAATGTAATTGAAGACGTTCTCGAATAGAAAAGCATCGTCCAACTCGATCACATCGAGAAACACCAACCTTTATAGCATTGCTCAATCAACAGGAAATATGCCAATGAAAACAAATATGTGCATTAATCTTTTGCAGAATGCTCTCCATCAACATGAATTCCCTTTGCTTTGAGCATATAATCAAACTAGAAAAAGAAGCATAACTTTAGCTATGTGCAAAGAGAGTAAACAGAGGAAAGAAAAACTTTGAAAAAGAAAAGAAAACTTTTATAAAACCGGAGGATAGAAGAAGAATGAATTTTGAATGTGTTTTGAGGCTTATCCTGATAGGGTATTTATAGCCTTCAAAATCCTAAAACCAAGGAAAAGATAATTCCTAAAATAAATAAGAAATAAATCCTAAAGGTAATTCTTAAACTATAAAATCTAAAAACATGGACAATATAAAAGACAACTCTTAAAATATTTAACTAAAACCCTAGAGATAAATATGGAATAAAATAATCCTAAAGATAATTTCAAATGTTTTATTCAAATTCAACTTTAAATCTCCTAAGATATCTCTTCCCGTCCACCTTCCAGAAGGTGCTGAGTAGATCTTCTAGAAAATTGCTGTTGACTGGACCTTCTAGAAACTACCACGTTAGACCGTGTCATGCCTAGAGTCATGCTCATGTCTCAGCCGTGACCAAATAATAAAAAAATACAGAATGCACCCTTTTTACTGCTAATTTTGGAAAGTAGATCATGCACGAAAATAAGCATAATACAACCAAATCAGCAGCAGTAAACCCACAAGATCGAAGAATTAAAGAGCAAATATTATCGATTTAGAACACTCATCATGGAGCTATCAAAAAAACATTTGGAAGTTATAGTTCTTCTCATATGCTTCAACTTGCAGGGTCTTAACTTGCTTGGTTTAACAACAGCAGCCCTGCAAACAGAGGAAATGAGACCAATCAACAAGCTTTACTCCAGTTCAAGGCCAAGATAACAGGTGATCAACTTAAGATTATGGAGTCTTGGAATAGTTCGATTCATTTCTGCCAGTGGCACGGTGTTACATGTGGCCGCAAGCATCAGAGAGTCACTACGTTGGAACTACAATTTCTCAAACTGTCTGGATCTTTATCGTTGAATCTTGGGGGCAACAACTTCTACAACCAGATTCCACAAGAAATCGATCATTTAAGAAGACTAGAAATATTGGACTTGACAAGTTTCCCTATATCATTTTCTTGTACAAGAAATTAATGCTTTCTGAAATATCAACCATAAAAACCAACCCCAAGTAGACGCATCTAGCTAAAGCAGGGACCCATGGAAATCTTAGCCACATGACTTTCAGATTTTGAAAGTTAATGAGAGATAGAAAAAAAAAATCAGAGTTCAAAAACTACATAAATTGCGCTCTGGTTCTTGTTGATGAACAAGGCATTCTCAGATAAAAAATCAATCTCAACAATTAAGAAATTGGTTGAAATTCATGGATCTATCAAAAAGCATATGGTAGCATCCGCCTCTCTTTCCATGTTTGCATTGAAATTATCACCCTCCTCTTATGCTTCAACTTGCAGGGCCTTAACTTGCTTGGCTTAGCAACAGCAAGCCCTGCAGTTAGAGGAAATGAGACTGATCAACAAGATTTACTGCAGTTCAAAAGCAAGATAATCGGTGATCAGCTTAGATCTTTGGAGTCTTGGAATAGTTCCATTCATTTCTGTCAGTGGCGTGGCGTGGCGTTACATGGGGTCGCAGGCATCAGAGAGTAACTAGGTTGGAACTGCAATTCTTCAACTCTCTGGACCTTTATCTCCCTTCATTGGAAATTTGAGCTTTCTCAGGGAGTTGAATCTTGCGGCTAATGGATTCAACAACCAGATCCCCCAAGAAGTCGGTCGTTTAAAAAGACTGGAAAGATTGGATCTGACCAATATCTCCATCAGTGGTGAAATCCCATCCAATTTATCTGCTTGTTCTCAGCTTACATTTGTTAGTATGTTAGGCAACAAGATAACAGGAGAAATACCTTCTTTGCTGGGTCTCTTGTCAAACCTGAAAATATTAACTTTTTCTAACAACAGTTTGACAGGGAACATCCCACCTTCCTTGGGGAAATTGTCATCCCTGGAGGTACTCGATTTATCATTAAATGGATTAACTGGGACTATACCTGAAGCTTTGGGGCAATTGGCAAATCTTTCATATTTCTTCGTAGGAGTTAATGCAATTTCTGGTATTGTTCCTATTGCAACCTTCAATCTCTCTAATATTAGAGAATTTGATATTGGTGGAAACAAGATTGAAGGTACTCTTCCTTGTGACTTAGCAATCATTATGCCATATCTTAAATTCTTTTCTGTAGGGCGAAACCAAATTTCTGGACAAATCCCGATTTCAATATTCAACGCCTCAAATCTAAATGCACTTGAATTTGGTGGAAACAGACTCAGTGGGAACGTTCCTTCCTTAGAAAATCTGAATGGACTACGTGGACTTCTTCTAGGAACAAATTACTTGGGACATGGGAGAGAAGATGACTTGCATTTTCTCTGCACTCTAGTTAATAATACCAAACTAGAACAATTATATATAAGCCAAAATAATTTAGGAGATGTATTTCCAGAATGCATTAGCAATTTTTCGAGCACCCTACTAGGTTTAGTAATGGAAGAGAACAAAATATGGGGAAGAATTCCAAATGGCATTGGAGATCTCATCAACTTGGAAGTGCTGGTGGCTTCTGTAACACCCCAACCCGTACCCGACCCAGATACGAGTCAGAGATGTCACATCGACTTTTCAAAATAATATAATTGTACAAATGGTAGAAAATTTAAACTTATATAATAAATCCCATAATTTACATCAGTTTAATACGAAACTTACAAAAATAATCAGAGCATGTACAACTTAAATTTTTAGTTACATGCCAACATTAACTTTCATAACAAAATAACCTACTGTTTAAGTTGCTTCTGATATTATATTGCAGGAGTGATGATGTCCCAGCTGCTTATCCTTGCTTGTATAACTTCTCGGATCCTACGTGTGAAACACTCACACGCTAAGTCATCGGCTTAGTGAGGCACAAAAATATATATACTAATACTATAATGAAATCTATAACATGAAATCATACCTTTATTCAATGCAAAAGACTAAATCATGCATTTTACACATAGTAACTTGTCATAATATTTAATGTTATTTCATATTATATTTTCATTAGCCCATGATACAATACATAGAACTTAAGGTATGTGAGTGCTTGAGGTTGTGCACAATTTTGTCACCACAACTCGTATAATACATCGAAAATGCCACGTAGAATTGCACCGAAGTGCCGCGTAGAAATGCACCGAAGTGTCATACAAAATGTCCATAAGGACCACATAGAAATCTCCTTAAGAACCATATATATTCCAAAGGACCAAATATGCGTCTCAAATGACCACATATGTTCCAAAGGATTATATATGTCCCGAAGGACCACATAGACCCTCGACTCTTGGCATGCCAATTATACCTATAGCTCTCATCTACATAACATGGGTTTTTCACAATTCACATAGTTTATTTTTCATAGACATATAAATTCTTAATTTTATCACATAGCTCATGTAAACTTCTCATACATATTCACGTAGATCATTGTCACATAATGCAAATATGAGTTCATGTCATGTATCGTATCCTATAATGCAATCTTTTATTAATTATGTTGGAACTAGACTTATCACAAGTCTAAAGTTTAATATCCTACTATAATCATATTATGAATATGCACTCACCTATATCTTTTTGTCCTTCCCTCGATCAATCTTACTCGTCACTTGTTCCAGAACTAGTTTATGCTCAGTATCTACATAAATATGATTACCAAAACAATCATCAGAATCCTAACATAACTCAATCTTAATAACTTAAACCATTTAATGAACATAATTCATATTTTCCTTCTTAAGTAGTATAAGTACCCAAGGTACAGTATCGATACTTCCCTATTAAGTAGTATCGGTACTCAAGGTACAGTACATATACTTGCTTTATAATGGTACCGATACCATACTTGAGTATCGATACCAAAATTAGATTCGATGTTTTAGGTCCAAAAATGGTATCGATACATGCCTTCTGTATCGATACCCATGGTATCGATACTACCCCTTTCGGTATCGATACCTCATGAAGATGTTGTCTAAAATGGTCTTATGGTATCGATATTATTCATGTAGTATCGATACCTACACAATAATATAGCCTATACTAGCTGTGTAGTATCGGTACCAACTCATCTGGTACCGATACCACTTGCTCAGAACAAACTTCTTTCACCCGAAAATCATCAACGGTTTACTTAATTTTCACCTTTAAAGTTCCTTTCATACCAACAACCTCAAATACAATCATTTTAACTTTCTTTTATCATCTTTGCACCTTATAAACTTCAATATCTTATTCCAATTCTTGAAATTAAGAATTTTACTAAGTTTTCCATATAATCCAAACTTAACTCTAGCACTTGTTACTTCTTATTCACACCTATGACAAGTCAAATCCAGCTTCTAAATTTATTTAAATCTTCTGATTCAAATTTTCACTTAAAAACTTCATACATTCAATCGTCCATAACTCATCATTCTTTGAGTTTCTATACCTCTTTTTGTTTTCATACTCTTTCCTAATACTTTATCAATCAAAACCACACCTAACTTTCAAGAATTAACCAAATAAAAGCCACATCACCTTAGCTTATGGGGCTTCACGGCTAGAGAAGAAGAGTGAAGAAGAGTTTTCTAGAAGACTTTCTTTTATCCTCCACTTCCCACGTGTATATATATATCCTTACCATATTAAATTTTAATTCATCATTAGGTCAAATAACCATTTTGACCTTCTATCCATCATTCTTTACAATTTGATCATACATAAAATTTTCATATAAGTCCCTGAACTATTCAATTTATCTACTTTAGCCAATCAATTCTGAAGTTTTTTAATTTAGTCACTAGCCCAGTATTATGGATGTTACAGCTTCACAAAATCAACTTTCTGGTCCCATTTACCATACCATCGGGAAGCTTCAGAAGCTAAAGATATTTTTCGCCCATACTAATTTTCTATGTGGGACTATTCCTCATTCTATTGGAAATTTAGTAGTGTTACTCAAACTTGCTTTACATAGTAATAATCTTGAAGGAAGCATTCCTTCAAGTCTAGGTAAGTGTCAAAATTAGCTTGCCGTAAATCTTTCTCATAACAATCTTAGAGGACCAATACCCCCTCAAGTACTTACAATCTCATCCTTGTCCATTGATACTCTTTCCTAATACTTCACCAATCAAAACCACACCTAACTTTCAAGAATTAACCAAATGAAAGCCACATCACCTTAGCTATGGGGCTTCACGGCTAGAGAAGAATAGGAAGAAGAGTTTTCTGGAAGACTTCTTTTATCCTCTACTTCCCACGTGTATATATATATATATATCCTTACCATATTATATTTTAATTCATCATTAGGTCAAATAACCATTTTGACCTTCTATCCATCATTCTTTACAATTTGATCATACATAAAATTTTCATATAAGTCCCTGAACTATTCAATTTATCTACTTTAGCCATCAATTCTGAAGTTTTTTAATTTAGTCACTAACCTAGTATTGAGGATGTTACAACTTCACAAAATCAACTTTCTGGTCCCATTTACCATGCCATCGGGAGGCTTCAGAAGCTAAAGATATTTTTCGTCCATACTAATTTTCTATGTGGGACTATTCCTCATTCTATTGGAAATTTAGTAGTGTTACTCAACTTGCTTTACATAGTAACAATCTTGAAGGAAGCATTCCTTCAAGTCTAGGTAAGTGTCAAAATTAGCTTGCCGTAAATCATTCTCATAACAATCTTAGAGGACCAATACCCCCTCAAGTACTTACAATCTCATCCTTGTCCATGCTCTAGACTTATCCTCAAACAACTTGACTGGTGAGCTTCATGTTGAAGTAGAAAAATTGAAAAATTTAAATGGCTTAGGTTTTCTCAAAAGGTTATCTGGTTTGCTTCCAAACAGCCTTGGTAGTTGTGTAAGTCTAGAGTACCTGTACTTGGATGGCAATTTGTTTGAAGGGTCGATTCCTTTAACCTTGAGTTCACTGAGAGGTCTTCTGGCATTGGATGTATCTAACAAAAACTTTGAGGCCAGGTTCCAAATTTCTTGTGAGCTTTGGAGGATTAAAGCATTTAAATCTCTCTTTCAATGATTTCGCGGGAGTGATACCAAGTTAAGGGGTCTTTAAGGATTCATGTGCTACATTTGTTGAGGGTAACGACAAGCTTTGTGGAGGCATCCCTGAGTTAAACTTGTCCAGATGTAACTCAAAAACATCAATCAGAAGATCAAACACTTCCCTTAAACGAAAAATTACTATTGTTGAAAATGATTGTGCAAGTGGCACCGAAAGTTGCCACTTATCTCCACCGAATTGGAGTCAAAAAGGAAGATGAAATTGTTGAAAATGTGCAAGGGTAAATTACTAAATTTAGTCATTGTATTTTAGGATATTTATAAGATTAGTCCTTAAGCTTCAACTATAAATACCATGGCTCATTTAGCTTCAAAATCATCCCAAATCATTCTAGCTTTCTCCCAATACTAGAGAATTTAGAGAGTTTCTTGAGAGTTGTTTTCTCCTTTTTATCAAGAGAGAATTATCATTGTTTCTCCTTGGTAGATCGAAAGAAGTTGTAATTCCTATTTTCTCATAGTGAAATTCTTCTACCGTTGCCTATGGTTTTTACCCTATATTATTTAGGGGTTTTCCACGTAAATTTTGTGTCTATTTTATCTTCATTTTTATTTTCTCAAATTATCAGTTGTAATTTTTATCTATCCGATAGCCGTCTTTCGCAACAATTAGTATCCGAGCCAGATTTGAGTGTGTAATATATGCTTATTGTCTTTGTGGTTGCCACCAAAAGGTGGATCCTCCAACATAAGAAAGTAAGAAGGTATTACCCATTCTTTGAAGGTTCCAGAGAACTATTCACGATAGTGAAATAGTGGGAGTTATCCGTAATAGAAACTATGACAACGAAATTTGATATTGAAAAATTCAATGGGAGAAATTTCTCATTGTGAAAATTGAAGATGAAGACCATCCTGAGGAAAGACGGGTGTCTAGCAGCTATCAGTGAAAGGCCATAGATTTCACAGATGACAACAATGGATCGAAATGGACGGGAATGCCATGTCAAACTTTCATCTAGCATTAGCAGATGAAGTATTGTCAAGCATCGAGGAAAAAAAGACAGCTAAAGAGATATGAGATCATCTCACCAAATTGTACGAGGCCACATCGTTGCACAATAAAATTTTCCTTAAGAGGAAATTGTACACTTTCCGGATGCCAGAATCTACTTCAGTGACGGAGCACTTAAACACGCTGAACACTTTATTTTCTCAGCTTACATCTTTAAGATGTATAATAGGAGAACAAGAACGTGCTGAACTTCTACTTCAAAGTCTACCTGATTTGTATGATCAACTCATCATCAACTTGACAAACAGTAATGTCACCAGTCTAGTCTTCGATGACGTTGCAGCTGCTGTTCTACAAGAAGAAAATCGGCGCAAGAACAAGGAAGACAAACAAGTAATCTGCAACAAGCAGAAGCGTTGACAACGATGAGAGGGAGATCAACAGAACGTGGCCAAAGTAACAGTCACAAACATGGTAGATCGAAGTCAAGAAGCAAAAAAGAATTTAAAGTGCTACAACTGTGGAAAGAATGGTCACTTGAAGAATAGCACATGACTCTGGTTTTGATCAAACACTTCCCTTAAACTAAAAATTGCTATTGTTGTTGCGATTTTGGGAGTGACTCTGGTTTTGACTTGCCTCCTCATTGTGTTGTTTAGAAAGAAGAAAGAGCAGCGTCCAACGGCAGCTTGTGAAGAAAATTCCCTTTTACAGTTATCATACCAAGCATCCTAAGGGGGACTAATGGATTCTCCATGCAAAATTTTCTTGGTTCAGGAAGTTTTGGTTCTATATAAGGAATTCTTGAAGAGAGTGGAACACCTATTGCAGTAAAGGTGCTTAATCTTCTGAATCGTGGAGCTTCCAAGAGTTTCTTGGCTGAATGTGAGGCATTGAAGAACATTCGACATCGAAATCTTGTCAAGATATTAACAGCCGTTTCAAGTGTCGATTTTCAAGGTAATGATTTTAAAGCATTGGTTTATGAGTTCATGGCAAAAGGAAGTTTGGACGAGTGGCTGCATCCATCTATCAACATGATTGAATCGGATACTGTAAGAAATCTGAGCTTCTTTCAAAGAGTTAATGCGACAATAGATATTGCTCATGCACTGGAGTATCTGCACCATCATTGCGAGCTATCCATCATTCATTGTGATCTGAAGCCAAGTAATGTTTTACTCGATGAGGAAATGGTTGGCCATTTAAGTGACTTCGGCTTAGCAAAAATTCTTTCTGCTGATGGACCTACCTATTCTACTAATCAGTCAAGCTCCCTTGGATTAAGAGGAACTATTGGCTATGCTCCACCCGGTGAGTTCACTTTAGTCATTTCTTCTATTTTACAATCATTCTCTTACATACTTATCTTTTCGTAGCATAATCTAAAAAAAACATATAATCTCGAAGCAAATTTTCAGAGATTTAAAGTATGGACATGAAAGGCTTATCTTTATATTTTGCGCGGTATCTCCTTTTTTTATTTTTTCTCTCTGTAATTTTTGATACACAAATTGTAGAATATGGCATGGGATGTGAGTTTTCAACAAAAGGTGATGTGTACAGCTATGGCATTCTTTTGCTAGAGATGTTTACTGGAAAAGCCGACTCATGATATTTTCAAAGAAGGTTTCAACATTCACAACTTTGTTGTGGCAGCTTTGCCTGATCGAGTGACTGAGATTATAGATCCCATTCTTCTTCAGGAAAGAGCTATTCAAGGAACACTTGCAGATGTCACTCTCAATGATAGAATCTGCAACACTTGATTTCTATATTTGAAATAGGACTCGCTTGTTCTGCTGAATCATCTACTGAGCGGATGGACATGAGTGATGTCGTTTCCAAGCTTTGTTCTATTAGAGACATGCTTCTTCATCCAACTCCCATACATCGCTAGCACCAAACTTTATATGTTGCTCAATCAGCAGGTATACTATAACGTATTCTCATGTTGCGGCAAATATATTGCATTGTTCTTAACAAGATAACCAATCACTACATGACTTAAGACATAAAATTGCACACTTTTTCAGATAAATGCTTTATTCAAATGATTTTGGTTACATTCGACGAAATAAATCTGATTTAGACACTTTCTTGATTTCATATGTTGCAGGTACCTAAGGTGCCATAATATATATCGATGGAGTTGAGAGGCCTAGGTCAGGCAAAGTGCAGCTATTCTCTTTTATTCACATTGCATTTGGTACCTGTAGGACTACTGTTTTCTGCTAAGAAAACTCTGCTGTGAGAATAAATATCGTTATATAGTGTGTGTCTGTAATCTCTATGAAGCATAAATCACATCCTTCTGTGGATCAATAAATTAGAATATTGTTATGTAATCTCTATGAAGCATAAATCACATCCTTCTGTAATCTCGTTAGTGCAGATAATACTCGAGGATTTTGAATTGCGACCCTGCTGAGAGTCTCCCTATATCATTTTCTTATAGTACAAGAAATTAATGTTTTCTGAAACATTGACTGATAAAGGTGAAATGCAGACAAGAAATTACCCCAAGTAGACTCATTTATGGATAGTTGCATTAATAACCCTTTATGTATTATTTTTTCAATTAGATCCTATTTTATTAAATAAAAATAATATTTTTATAAATATATTTATTTCAGGACGGATCGTATCGGGGTCTGATTTTATCTCAAAAGGTCGGATCAGGTTCAACTCGGGTGAAGTCATCCCTAATCTCGGGTCGGATGAAAGATAAATATCTCCGGGTTGGGTCGGATCGGAATGACAGAAAACCTGACCCAACCCAACCCATACTAATCCCTAGATGGAGATATAAAAAAACATATGGAAGCATCCATGTTTACATTGAATTTGAAGCTATAATTCTTCTCTTATTTGTGGAAAAACGTACATTTTTCCATTTCTTTTCCATAAAGAAATTGCAGGGTAACTTAATTTAGACGTTCATAATTTACACAATAATGGTCAACGGGGGCTCCATAATTGTGACCCTGCTGCTCCATAGAATTTAGCTTCTCCTCGGCGTTTACTTCATAGTACAAGAAACTGACGTTTTCTGAAATATTTAGCTCAGTTATGGGGACAAAATGACCATAAGAACCAACCCTAAGTAGACGCATGAAATTAATGCAGATCCATGCAAATTGTAGCCACGTGACTTTTTAAAGTCCGAATACTTGAACCAATTGACGGGTGATAAAATATTCAAAAACAATTTATATAGGACTCTAATAAATTATATGCAAATAGTATTCACGTTGCTTTGTTAAGTTTTCTGATTACTACAAGTTATAAAATAGTCTCCGTATTATTTTATTGAGTCTTCGACTATTAAAAGTTACAAAATAGTCATCCAATTATTCATATGTTTCAAACTCATCATTTTTTATTAAAAAATTAATGGTCGTCAGAGCTAGATGTTGACCTGTTGACTAGGATCTGATAAAATCTAGTCTCATAATAGTTTGAGTTGTATTTTATAGATTGAATCTCCGTTTACAATATGTCATCGAGACATTGCTTGAAACATTATATCGTCGACCCATTGCTTGAAAGCAACGACAATGCTAGTAGGTATCATTAGAATATGATTTATTATATCAGTCAGCATGTTAACGTTCAGCTCAAATGACAACCAATTTTTTAACGAAAAATGACGATTTTGAAACATATAACATTATCTTGTTGAGAGGATTATTTTGTAACTTTTAATAGCCGGGGATTCAAAAAAATAATATTGTAATCTCGAGTGGACAAAGATAATGTTTTTTAATGTATAAGATCTTTTCTTAATAACTCAAAGATACATATTATTTTAAATAATTACAATTTTTACAATAATATCATTTTTCACCTCATAAAATTATAAATGATTAATATATTAAATATTAAAATTATAAAATAATTTTAACTATTCAAATATTTTACTAAATTAAACACATTCTATATAACGTTAACACATTAAATTTAAGCACATTCTATAGAACGTTAATACATTAAATTATTTTACTAAAATAATTATAAAATTTTATTTTATTTTTTTAAAAAATAATGGGTATGCAATTTTTTTATTTTTTTCCTTAACACATTAAATTAAATTTAATCATTTTTCTAAAAACTATAGAACGTTAATACATTAAATTATTTTACTAAAATAATTATAAAATTTTATTTTATTTTTAAAAAATAATGGGTATGCAATTTTTTTTATTTTTCCCTTAACACATTAAATTAAATATAACCATTTTTCTAAAAATAATGGGATGTACTTCGCCCCTATGGAGGCTTAATACATCTGCCCTTGAGTCAGAGGACTCAACAAAACAATACCCTATAATAGTAAAAAACTCAATAAAATAATATTCTATAGTTGAGAGACCATTTCCGTAATTTACCCAAATATTTAGTACAAAAAGTATGACCCAGTTATGAAGAAAAAATATTGACCATAAGAACCAAACCCAAGTAGACGCATGAAATTAATGCAGACCCATAGCCACATGACTTTCGAAGTCCGAAAACTTGAACCAATTGACGGGTGATAAAATATTCAAAACAATTTATATGCAAATCATATTTAGATTATAGAATATTGCTTTATTAATTTTTTTTGTTATTAAAAGTTATAAAATATTCTTTTAATTAGTTGTCATTTTATTGGCTCTCCGATTATTAAAAGTTACAAAATAATTATCTGACTATTTTATGTTCTAAACTCGTCATTTTTCATTAAAAAAAATAGTAATCTTCTGAGCTAGATGTTAACTTGTTGACTAGGATCTAATAAAACATGTTCCCATAATAGTTTGAGCCGTATTTTGTGGATCGAATCTCCGTTTACAATATGTAGTCAAGCCAGTGCTTGAAACATTATATCGTCGATCTATTGCTTGAAACCAACGACAATGCTAGTAGACGTCATTGAAATATGATTTTATTATATCGCAGTCAGTATATTAACGTTCAACTTAAACGACCATTAAATTTTTAACTAAAAATGATGAGACCTTGTTGAGAGGATAACCCCAAGTAGATTTTAAGTCCCTAAGAACCAACCCCAAGTTGACGCATGTAATTAATGCAGACCCATGCAAATTGTAGGCGAACAAAGAATTCAAAAACAATTTATATATACAGCACTCTGGTTCTTGTTGATGAACAATGAATTCTCAAATAAAAATCAATCTCAACAATTAAGAAATTGATTCAAGTTGATGGAGCTATCGAAAAAGCATCTGGTTTACTGTGAAGTTATAATTCTTCTTCTCTCATGCATCAACTTGCTTGGTTTAGCAACAGCAAGCCCTGTGTTTAGAGGAAATGAGACTGATCAACAAGCTTTACTCGAGTTCAAAGCCAAGATAACTGGTGACCAGCTCAGAATTATGGAGTCCTGGAATAGTTCCATCCACTTCTGTCAGTGGCGTGGTGTTACATGCGGTCGTAAACATCGGAGAGTCACCAAGTTGGAACTGCGATTCCTCGGACTCTCGGGATCTTTATCGCCATACATCGGAAATTTGAGCTTTCTCAGGGAGTTGAATCTCGAAGCCAACAGATTCTACAACCAGATTCCTCAAGAAATTGGTCGCTTAAGAAGACTGGAGATACTTCAACTGGCCAATAACTCCATTAATGGTGAAACTCCTTCCAACTTATCTGCTTGTTCTAAGCTTACATATGTTCATATGAGAGGCAACCAGCTAACAGGAGAAATACCATCTTTGCTGGGTTCCTTGTCAAACCTGCAAATTTTGAGTTTTAGAAACAATAGTTTGAGAGGAAGCATTCCACCTTCTTTAGCGAACTTGTCATCCCTCGAGGGTCTTGATTTGACGATCAATGGATTAACTGGAACTATACCTGAAGCTTTGGGGCAACTAACAAATCTTTCATATTTCGCTATAGGCGGAAATGCAATTTCAGGTATTCTTCCAGTTGCAATGTTCAATCTCTCAAACATGGTTACCTTTGATATTGGTCACAACAAGATTCTGTTGGATCATAAACTTGATCCATTATGGGAGCCTAAATCCAAACCCAAACTAAATTGATGTCATTACTTACATCATTTAATTAAAGATGTCATTGCTTACATCATTTAAGTAATGATGTCATTGCTTACATCAATTTAGTTAGGTGAGAGTTAGATATTTGTTGAATTTGTAATGATTTAAATTAGTTTATTTGTGTGGTGTAGGATTGTTCTTGAGTAGTAAAAATACCCCTCCCCATTTTAGTTTTAAGTATCAAGAAAAATTAAGAGCTTCTAAGTGAGTGAAGAAGCAAAGTCTTATAAGAGTGAGTTGTAGTTCTTG